CTGTCTTTCAATATTCTTTGCAGGGTTGGCTTGGTGATGGTGAAGTTCTTCACCTGTTCTTTGTCATGGAAGTATCTTATTTCTCCATCAATTTTGAAGGACAGTTTTTAGGGTACATCAGCCTAGGTTGGAAATCATTTTCCTTTAGGAACTAGAATACTTCACTCAATGCTCTTTTGACTTTATTGTTTGTGCTGAGAAGTCTGCTTTGATTCTGATAGGTTTTCCTTTATAGGTGATCTGTCTTTTCTCTCTGACAGCTTTTAATATTCTATTCTTTTGTTCAGTTTCTGAGATGGTCATTATTATATGTCTGGGTGTAGTTTTATTTTGGTTATGGCTATTTGGAGTTCTATATGCTTCATTGATCTTGATACCAGTTTCCAATCTCATGTTTGGGAAATTTTCAGCTATTACTTCTCTAAATACCCCTTATAATGTGCCCTTCTTTTTCGTTTATCTGTGTCAACCTTATGTTGTTCCTCTTTTTGTCATCTTGCAGGTATTGAATTGTTATTTCCTGATTTCTTGTTATTTTTAAAAGATCTTTCCTTTCCTGTTCACTGTCTGCAGTCTTGTCTGCCAGGTCTCAAATTCTATCTTCACATTCATTGAGGCGGTGTTTACAACTTTCAATGGAGTTTTTTATTTCCTGTATATCTCTTTGCATCTGCTTTATATATTTCGTTTGTTTCTTATATTGTTCTTCCAGGGATTCTATCTTTTTGTTTATTTCCTCCAATTTTTTAACTGTGTCTTCTTTAGATATATTCAGCATCTCCTTCATTTCTTTTATCATTTCTTCTTTTACTTGAGAGATTATTTCTAGTTTGAATTTCTTTAAGGCTTCCCAGAGTTGCTTCTTTATTTCACTTACTATTATTTCAGGTATTTCAGCTATGTGGCATGTATTTTCTTCTATGCACATGGCTCCTAGGCTTTCTTGATATGGGCTGGATGTCTGAGATTACATTTTGGTCTTTTGTTTCGTCATTTTCCTATATTTTCACACTTCAAGTGTTGTTCCAAGTGAGGGAGAGAGGTCCACCAGGCTAGGAGGGGGTTCTATGGCTTGGCTGGACTCACTGTTCCCCAGCAGGAAGTGGCCGCCTGGCCCCTGGCGAGGGAGAGAGTTTCACCAGGCTGGGACGGGATTCCCTGCCTCCACCTGACTCACTGGTCCTGACAGGAAGCTGTGGTCTGGTCTCCAGGCAAGGGAGAGAGTTCCCATTTGCAGTTTTCTTAAAGGTTATATTATCCTTTAAAATACTCTCCTTTTCATTATGGCAGATCTCTAGAGCTTTGAGCTAGTTCTGAGAACAACCAGAGCCTGCAACTGTTGGCAGTAATATGCTTTATGTTGATTTATAAATAACTTTGAAGGGCCAACCTGTGTGTTTGGAATTAAAGAATTATCTTGTTTGCCAGATTAGAAGTGAATTTTTTTCTTCCTTCCTCAAAATATTTTGCCAAGTGCTTAACATTACTTGTGAGTTGGGAAATGTGCAGTTGAAGGAGGAGCCACGTGAGAGGAACAGCCATCTCAAGGCTGCAAGTAAGTGGTGAGGGCAGGTTATTTCTTGGTATGAGTTAGACTTAAAAAACACCTAGAAAGTTAACAGGTTTTTTATCATATTTTTTAAAATTAATATTACCCGTGGTTAGCACTGCCCTTTGAGTTTGCATACAACAAAAGTAGTTAAAAGCAATGTTTTTGTTTCTGCAGCTGATTTAATTCATATTTCAAGTGACGAGATAATTGCAATTAAATGAGATGAGAACACTGTGTCGATAGCAGATACTTTCATGATTTTTCCCTGTGTGTAGTCATCCATTTCTTATTGTCCTTTTGTATTAAGTTTTTGACTGTTGTTTCTTTTCTTTTCTTTCTTTCTTTCTTTTTTTTTTTTTTTTTTTTTTTTGGGTATTAGAGATTGAACCCATAACCTCACACTTGCCAGGCAGGCACTTACGCCACTGAGCTAAATTCCTAGCTCTTGTTGTTTCTTTGTTTTAAAAAAAAAAAAAATGTATCCTAAAATTTTTTTGTGATGATCAAAGGGTCACACTACCACTTTTAAAAATTCAAGTGAGATGATAGGTGCCGTTCTCTACTAGACATGCTATATATTTTCTGTGTAAGGGGAGAAATTTTGCTTGAGGGTCTTTTCTTTCTAATATATATCAGGCCAATTGAATACACTATAGTAAAAGATTACATAGCTTACCAACGTAAGAGGAAAATGTCTGAAACACAATATGTAGAATACAATGTCATTTTTGCCTTTTATTCCATTGATAGGTAGTCATGAAATTATTCCCTGATAGAGCAAACAAATTTTTCTGCTTTTCCTAAAATTTCTTGTAAAATTATTGCCTAGATATAAGATTGAGAATAATAGTGCTTTGGAGAATTAGATCTTGAAAGAGAACTGGATGACATTCAATGAACAGTGCTGAACATTTCAGAATTTGAGTTTTTATCTTAACTGACAACTGTTTAACCTCAGTTTGTGCTTTCTAAGGAAATTGACTGGTTTTGGATAGATTTGCGTAAAATTTAAAGTGCAGAGTTTTTTTTTTTTTTTTTTTAAGTTAGCAATAGGTAGGAAAAAGTCTTTAGGGACTAATGCATTTTTAAAATTCTGGCGAAATTTCAGAATAGCACTTTTATATACTCTTTGAAATGTTGGTTCCAATGTGGTTTTATAGAGTGGTCTGGAAAGAATAGGGTCAATTTCTGCAAATGAGTATCTCGAAAGAAAATCAGATTTAGCAGTAATGCAGTGAGTAGAATTAGGTGATTTATGCCAAAAAACAAACCAGATATTTACTGGTTTAGTTAAAGGATGAGACTGTTGACTGGATGTTGAGGAACAAGAAGAGGATTGTTGCTGCTGTAGAAAGGAAAAAGCGGCCAGATGGATCACTGTCAGTTTTGAAGTACTCCTTGAATGTAACCATCCTCTGCTTAGGAGAAGAGGGAAGCCCATGCCATTTAAATGCTTCTTATAGCCTCTGGGAAGCACCATAAACTCCATTGCTGGTGAGGGATGGAAAAGAGCAAGAGAGACAACTGTTCACTTGTGCTGTTAAGACAAAAGTGCTATGACTAGGTGGCTTACACAACATTTACTTCACAGTGCTATTTATGCTGGAAGTCTAATATCAGGGTGCTCTTCTGGGTTTATATCTGGTGATTTTGCCCTTGTGTTGTGCCTTGAATTACAGTAGAGAAGAAGCAGCTTTGTGATTCTGTTTTTATGAGGACATATTCTCATCATGAGAGCTCTTGCCCTCATGACCCAGTTTTTCCCAAAAGGTCATTTACCCAAGTATTACCGATTAGACTTTGCAGTGTAACAATTAGGGATGGTCACATTCACTCCCCAACACATAGATTCTTTCAACTGCCAAATGAGGGATTTGTAATAGACCTTTAAAGGTCTTTCAATTATGACAATCTAATTCTGTGACCTATTTTATCTTGCAGAAAACGGTGACAGTGAATCCTCATAATAAATATTGTTTTACTGTCTATTTCTTACTTAAGCTTTGTCAAAATATAATTTACACATCATGAAATTCACATATTTTTAATATATGTAGTTTGATGAGTTTGAATAAATTTATACAACTATACAAACATTATAAAATCCAGTTACAGAAGTTTTATGCAATATCAAAAAATTTTATCACACAGGGTTCTTTTGTGCCTATATGGAATCAATTCTCTTCTTCATCTCCAGACCTGAAATAGAGATGTTTCTTTTTTATCTGTTCCCCTGAGCAAATCAGGCATCCACTAACCTGCTCCTATCTCTTCCTTTATGTGCCTTTTGTAGAAGTGTTATATAAATGGCTTCTTTTACTTAGCATGATATTTTTCCATGTTCGTTCCTATTAGTTTTCCTTTGTATTGCTGTGTGTGGCTCCTTTGTAAGGGTATACACTACCACATTTTGTTTATCCATTAAGTATTAAGTAAATCAGGTTGTTTCAGTTTGAATCAGATATGAATAGTAGTGCTGTGACCATTTGCATTGTTATTCTGTGGAGATTTTTTTTCCTCCAGTAAATAACTAGAAGTGAGTTGTTGGGCTATATATATGTCTATGTTCATTGTTTTTAGAAACTGGCAAACTTTAAAAGTTTATAAATTTTTATTAATATTTGTTTATGATTCCCAATGAGTATATTCATCATGGGATACTGGTACATATACATATCAAATCTTGATCCTTTTTACTTGTCTTTCCCTTCCCCTCCCTTGAGTATCCCTCCAGGTCCAGACTGCCTATCTCTATAAAACATTCATTTTGTAGTCTCACTGTATACATAAAAGTATTATGTATAAAAGTTCTGATTTCTCCTTGTCATCTGTGCTTCATTTGTTCACTGTTCTTGGCTGTATCCCTTTTATGGGTGTATCTTGGTATCTCAGTGTAGTTTTAATACTCTTTTCTTTAGTAAATATGATATCCCTGAGAATTTTTGGAACCTTTTTGTCAGAATTTGAGAGACGAATTTCCAGCCACATAAGGAAATCTATTTTATAGTTATCAATGGATCTCTTGCTTATTTTTTTTTTTTTTTTTTGGCTTTTTATCTTAGAGCTGTCTTGAGAATGTTGCTTTTTATATATCTGTTCTTCTGAGAGAATGTTAAATATGTTGTGGTTACCTGCCAGCATGAAATGCTTTGATTTTTTTAAAAAAATTTTTCATTATTGTTTTAAAGAATATATATATATATATTTTGCTAGAAACTGATTCTTATAATATGAGTGATAGCTGTACTTTTGAATTATTTGGAGAATTATTGACAGTTTTTTCCTCTAGAGTAATGTAGTTTTAAATTATTAAACATTCTACTCATTTTTTACTGATTTAATTCCCAATTCATTCTTTTACTATGATCTGCTATATACATTGTAAATATTGTTGACTTCACGAGAATCATGTCAAACGTACCTTTTTTTTTCTTTTCTTCATTTCTAGGTAAATACTGTGGTCTGGGGTTACAAGTGAACCATTCAATTGAATCAAAAAACAATGAAATTACAGTGCTGTTCATGAGTGGAATCCATAATTCTGGACGAGGATTTTTGGCTGCATACTCAGTTATAACTAAACAAGGTAATTTCATCTTATGTAATAACTTCTACATTTTGCAGTTTTTGATCAAAATGAAATGTTTTTCAGGTACTTGTTATCTGAAATTAGAATAAAGCTGTAAAACAGAAGTTAATAAAGCATATACAAATCTTAACAGTTACATCAGTTTCAGAGTTCTAAAAATATTTTTATATAAAATGCATATGCATCTTCTTAGTAGAAGAAATACTTTACACTTTTGAGTGGAACACAAGCTATGAAAGGTTAAAAATTTGTGAATTATTAAGAGGTAGCATACAATTTAAAGTTTATTATCCACACTTTACCATTTTCATGGTTTGTATTAAAGACCATATTGCTATGCGTTTCAAAGAATAGGCCCCTACATGACCAGGTACATCCTATAACTGCTTAGGTGGTACAAAATAAACAGGAGGAATTTTTGAATTGTTAATGTTTATAATCTAAGTATGGTGGTAGGGATTAAAAACTAAGCTATTAAGTAGAACAGATTGTAAAATTTACCTACATCTAAGATAAAATGCAAGATCTGCATGAAACATTTTGTATTTTGGTTGCTGTGACTGAAATTCATTCCCCTGTGCTATTCAGAGTACTGTGATGAGCAAGTGTTTTTACTGCATGAACATTTAAATTAGGAATCAATGATTACTTTTATGCTCAGCAGTAAATTAAGTTGACCCACTTAAATTTGAAATTAGCAGTTAGTACGTGTTGTTTAAATGAGAATATTGAGCACTGAGAGTAACTGAAGACAAAGTAAGCTGTTCTCTTCAGTGTTGATAGGTTTGAAAAAATACTGAAAACATGAAAAAATACTGAAAACACGATGCCTTAAGGAGAGGGCTTTTTTATATGGTGAGCTGTCTACTTTCCATTAGTTTATAAAATGTTGAACAAAGTGTGAAGGCTGCTAACATCTTTTAGAGAAAATGAGAAAGCGACAGTGTGGTAGCATATCCCTGTAATCCCAGAGACTGAGGCAGGAGGATCACATAATGAGTTTAAGGCTATCTGACCTAGCTGAGATAGCAAGACCCTGTCTCAAAAAACAGACAAACAAGCAAGAAACCAGAGAGAGAGAGAGAGAAAGAGAGAAAAGATAAACAATAAAATTTATTTGGGTGGAAAGAATAATTATTACTATTTTTTTTTTTGTCTTTTTCATTTTTATCGGTACCGGGAATCAAACTCACGACCGCCTGCTTATGCTGCTGAGCTAAATCCCCAGCCCCAATAATTAATATTTTTGACAGAGCTGGTAAAATAAGACATTGGAATATTGTGGAAATAGCCCTGGAATTAAACCTTGACTCTGCTTGCTAGCCTGATGACTTCCTGCAAATCATTTCACCTCCATGGATGGCATCTGTAAATGGATTAGTTGTGGGGACTAAGTGCTATAGTTTCTGTAGGTACACTAGGTATATAGTGTTACTTACCCTACTCCCTCATCTACTATTGCAAACACTCATAGTGACCCTGCTCCATAAATATCATTAAAAGCATGATATAGAGAACACATAATGACATGATAATAGATTACAATTATTTCAGTTTTACTTTTTAAAAACCTTGAATTGATAGGTAAGAGGATGAAAAATAACCCATTTTACTTCATTTCTCCCTAAAGTTTCTAGATCTTAATATTAAGTTAAATGTTTAGTTTGATTAGATTTTTTCCTATTTTCTCCTCAATTTCTATCAAGTTAAAGGCATCTGGAAAATAAGTAGCCTCTCCTATTTTTTTTTTTTTAATAAAGGAAAAGTTCCTATATTAGGTATTTAAATTATGGAGCTTTTTGACCCACAGACCTGAATGTCCTACATTAAATTTACTTAAGAGATTTGGCAGTTATCTCAGATAACAGAGTCAGTGTGCTGTAACCATGTAAATCTCTACCAGATTTCAAATAGTTCCATTGCTATTTCAGATGATTCTTAGCTTCCAAAGTTCTTGAAATATCTACTTTAATTATGAACATGTGGATAATAAGATTTTCCAAAGGGATAATCATCTTGTAAAATCCTCATTTCACAGCTATGTCCTGAAGTCTTATTTATTTATTTACGTGACTTGTCCTATCAGTCAAGCATTTATTTCATATGAACTGAATTGACTATATTCAAGAGAACTTTGGTTGAATTTCTTACTACTTTTTGTGTTATGTTTCACTTAACTATTCCTTATGATGATTCATATATTTGAAGAATGGTTGGCTTTGGTTGAAATCCTCACTTTGATTCCATCCAGGAAATTTATCTGCCATATAAATTCAGTGGTATTTTCATTGAACATCGCCACATATCCTTAGCTTAGCAGCTGGTTGAAGATTTAGAGTATTTGCGAATAAAAGTATAAATGGTCTTGCTTCAACAGCTACCTCATTTGTTACACACTCCCACAAAGACTTGTTACTTTCCTATTGCTTTTGCTAAAGTGGTGATTTCATCCAAGATAGACTAATACTCATTATATTGTACAGGAATTCATTGCAAAATTAGATTCCCTTTGAAACCTCTGCTTTACTCTTGGTTTTGGGAAAACAATAATTAAGACAGATACAACACAGCCTTAATGAAGCTAATAATAAATAGTATAGGATTGGAAAAAGATATGTAAACAAGTGGCTTTTTATTTATAGCTAAGACAGGAGGCCGGAGAGGTGCAGTGAGGAGAGCAAGACTGATGAGGAGCAGCACTTTCCTGAGTAAACCACTTTTAACCTCAGAACGGAAGGATTAATTGGAGATTCCAGAGTAGAAGGGGACACAAGAACATTACAGGGAAGAGAACAATAAGTGCAAAGACCTGTGCTGGACAGGATCTTTGGGAAAATTGGAAAAACCCAGTGACTGAAGTAGAGTGCAATGGAATGCCTAGGGAAGTGAGCAGATCTCACTATTGAAAGCCTTACAAATGTCTTTAGGGTAGAACTTTTCCTTAGGATTGCATGGATGTTGTTAGAACAGTAAGACTTTTTCTATAAGACTGCGTTTTTGGTTTTGTTTGTTTTTTTCTGTGAAGTAAAGGTCAAAGAAGAGTAAGAACAAATGTAGGAAGGCCTTGTAAGTCACTATTAGCCGAAACCAGATGACCAAATTAAGAGGTCTTCTGACATACACAGCAGAATTATTCCCATTTCTAACGACATTACACTCAGTTATATCTACAAGGAAGGGTTCATCCTGTCTGGTTAAGTTGTAGTAAGAGGCTTTGGGCATAAGGAGAAGAACGGGTTCAGAAGTACTCTAATGCCCAGGTCCTGTATCAGACATGGTACTACAGTTCTCTTAGTGACCTTTTTCAGTTGTTTCTGGTTTCTGTAAAACTTTGGATTCTCTCCTTCCCTGTGTTACTTTAATTATTTCTGAGTAATAGTTTCCAGAATTTTTTTTTTTTTTTTTTTTTTTTTTTTTACCAATTTTGGAAAGAATTACAACTAGCAGTGAAAGGAAAAATTTACATTTTCCTATTGTGGAGCATTCAAAGAGACATCAATATGAAGCGAAACTTCCAACAGATATGAGAGAATTAGTATTTCTACTTTAAGTTGAACTAGATGTTCGACTTTCTGAGAAATTGATTATGTGTGTGGACCTTTGATGTATCCTGGACATCTTAATAATACCCACTATTGTAAGACATTTTATAGCAAGAAACTCCTAAGTCACTGCCGATCTGAGAATGGCAGGGCTGACAACTCAGAGTCTGGACTTGGTAACTCAGGTCTTATTATGTAATTTAGTAACAAATGCTGCAGACTTTTTTGATTTAAAAAGAAAACTTAAAAATAGCATTTAAGGTTGGTCTTTAAAAATTAAATGTTTTTTTTTTTTTTTTTTTTTGTACTGAGGATCAAACTCATGACTTTGCACTTGCCAGGCAGGTGCTTATGCTTGAGCTAAATCTCCGGCCCTAAAAAACTAAATGAATAGTGTAGATGTGTGGTCTGAGTTTCTGTTTCATGATCTCTTCAACAGTGTACAAGAGCTCAGCATTTGTAGGATTCTATTTTTTTTTTAAAGTCATTTTAGTTACAGAATGATGAACTGAGTAAACAGACTACATTTGTATTGAAAGCAACAAGCCCTTTAGAGTAGAATTTGTATATGCCATAATTGGTATGTTGGGGTTGTGTGTTTTAAAGGCAGTATTGGAAAGTGATAATCCTGGTACTGTTTTTATAGAACATGGAATAATAACTTAAAAGGTAATGTTAAACCTCATTTCTTCAGATTTCATGGAAGCAGAATTTTGTAGTGGTCAGTCTAATATTTGTCTATTTAAAAATTTTTTTTTATGTTTTGGTACTGGGGATCGAACTTATGACTGCATGCTTGCAAGGCAGGCGCTTAGGCTGCTGAGCTAAATCCCCTCCCACATTTGTCTATTTTTGTGAGGAAAAATAGTTTAGAATTTTCTTTGAAACAAAATGACCTAGTGCGAGTACTCATGTTCAGTTGTTGAATGCTGTTCTGTAGAATCTGGTAACTATGTGCCTAAGATTTGTAAGTAGCTGAGTCTGGAAAATATTCCTATTTGACAGGGTTATTGTTACTGTATGATAGATTATTTTTAGAATTAATAACCAGTGTTATAAGATTTTCTGATTGATACATTTTTAACCATTTTGTTTGCAAATATTTTCCATTTCTTCCATCATAGTACATAAACTTCTAAGTGAAATGGTAGAATAGAGGACTCCTTTCTAAAGTTTCTGTAGCTTGTTTTTCTATAAGGAATGCTTTTGCTTTTAAAAATAGACTGAGAATTCATCCAAAGATTTTTTTGCTTTCTGAGCTATATAATAATTTTATAGAATTTCTTTGTTTCAAGTACTATACTTAACCATGTTGCTATTTGTAATTTTTATATTGTTTTATCATTATTGCATCTAGCAAACATTTTAGAAACCTGAAAATGTTAAACTGATTAGCAAATCTTAATAAGGTTTCAGTTTTCATTAATAATTTTAGGTTTTTTGATTTATAGACAA